GAAACAAAACTTGTTTGGAATTAGAAAGAAAGAAAATAAACCAGAGATGATGCTGCTACAAAAATCCATTGGCTTGGTTGAGTACTGTGGCAAACTTTGATCACAGCCCCAAAAATCACAGCATGGCTGGGGTTGGAGGGGACCCTAAAGTCCACCCAGTCCCAGCCCCTGCCTTAGGCTGATTGCCTCTCATCAGACCAAGTTACTCAAGCCCATCCAGCCTGGCCTGGGGTACCTCCAGGGATGGGCACCCACAGCTCTCTGGGCACCAATGCCAGTGCCTCACCAACTTCATAGGAGCAAATTTCTTCCTAATGCCCAATCTAAATCTATCTTATGTTCGTTTTAATCCCTTCCCCCTTGTCCTGTCACTGCACCCCCTGACAAAGCTCGCTTTCCTGTAGGCTCCTTTAAGTACTGCAAGGCTGCTATAAGGCATCTGCAGAGCCTTCTCTTCTCCAGGTTGAACAGCCCCAGCTTTCTCAACACCAAATGCTAAATCACTGCTAATTAGCACATCACAAAGACCGCACGTCAGCTGTTTCCTGGTCAAGATCATTCTAAGGGTGAGCCCATTTTCGTAAGGGTGTTTCATTCTTCTACAGCATCCAGGGATATCAGAGCACATTATGAAGGAAGAGAAGCATCGTTAAGTTTGCTTTATGGCTGGAGAATCTGAGACCTAGAGCAGCAATATCGTTTCATCAAAAGCAAATAGCTGTTGAAGTTGAATGTAACGTTTGAAAAGATCCTAAATATTTGAAACGCCTGTTTGAAAAGCTGAAAATGTAGCTCTGAGAAACATCACAGTGTGCTTCACATCTGGGGTCAGTTCACAACAGCCGTTAGTGAGAAAAAATGCAGCTCAGTTAGCCCATCCCTGGAGCCTGTTTGCTGAGGTTCTTCCTCCAGTCTTGCTGTGTTTTCATGATTCACCAGCTCTTCGACAGGAATTACATTTAAAATTGCATGTAAGTAATGCATTTTTCTTAATAAATTCATGCTGACATTCAATTCCCTGGCATGCATTTCCAGCCCTTTGCCCCTTCTTTACTTTCTGACAGGGATGTACGATGAAAACTGGGTTATGCCATTCTGAGGAAAGATATCATAGTAATAACACTAAAAAATAACAATTAAAAAAAATCCACTATTTTGATCAGAAAATAAGCAACCATGTCATCTTCTAGTTTTATCAGAAATTGAATCTCAGAGCATTCGGTGCACTGAATGGCTCAGTCTCTCCTGGGATGTGTTGAAGCCAATGTGCACTCAGGAATTAAACAATGGAGAATGACTAAGGACATTTTCTACTTCACAATCTTTGTCACAGGTTCCTAGGATCAGAATTCATACCCAGCTTCCTTTGTCTCTGAAACTGTTTTAATGCAGGTCAATGTTCAAGTTTTTTTTCTAAAGAAATCAATCAAACAAATGCCTTCTGCATTGTTCAAAGTCCTCATACACTGAGACATAACAAAGTAATATGGTTTAACGATGAACTTCAGGACAGTCATCATGATCAAAAAGGCTTTATTCTCAGCCAACCTAAATTTTCCCCAGTAACGATCAGATCTGTTCCTTGGTGTTACGCTTTCTTGGACCGCAGCAGTCCAGAGCATAGAGACAAATGAGAGATCAAAACCAGTGGAAATAACATTTGACAGGTGAAATCCCATCTTTGAAAGAGGCTCAGAATCTTTAAAAGCACTTTTCATCCCTCTGGAACTGAGAATACTTATCAACTCCAGCCATATTGTACTGAAGGACATGGTTTGGTGGGAAATATTGGTGGTAGGTTGGACTGGATGATCTTGGAGGTCTTTTCCAACGCTGGTGATTCTATGATTCTGTATTGCCATGGGCTAGTATAATGGTCCCTCCTGAAGAATACGATTCTGGTTTTGCCTAACAAGTGACCAGAATTCAGCTGAGTTGTACTCTGGGCATTTGGCTCTCAACTAACCGAGAAATACAATTATCTGCATTAGTTAAAGCTTCCTTCTCTGTGGGTGAAGCCAATTTTAATGGCTCCAGGCTGAGTGCTTGCACATGGACATACAACTTAACGGAATTTTAAGACTGAGTCCTCATTTGGAAATAATATTGATTTCTTCTAGTAGCATTTATAGCTCCTTATCTTCCCAGCTGTGCACTAGGATGCTTCTCTCACAGAATCAATCCTGGATGTCCTTTGGTAAAATATGAAGCTCAGCCTACCCAACACTTTTAATTCTTCATTAGATCAAATCCAACCCGCAGCTGTAACTGAACGAGGTCAGGGGCAGAGCTGTGTTGTTTTTAAAATCTTTGTGCCCTCCATTTCTAATGGCCACTTTTCAATTACAGCAGGCAGCTGGATGCATTGCTTTTCTCCCATCTATGATAAGGCAGAGGAAGAGGTAACATGTTTGACTGTGTTCCCATGGTTCACGGCAGACACTAAATTTCAGTGGTTTCATTTCAGTACTTCTCACAGCACCCTTAAAAGGGTCAGGAACACCAATAACACTAAGTGGGGTGCATCCAAAGCAGGGTGGTCAGCAGGGTGAGGTAGGGGATCCTGCCCCTCTGCTCTGTGCTGTGAGAGCTCACCTGGAGCACTGCACCCAGATGTGGAGTCCTCAGTACAGGAGAGATGTGGACCTGTTGGAGTGTGTCCAGAGAAGGGCCACAAAAATGATCTCAGGGATGGAACACCTCCCTACAAGGATAGGCTGAGAGAGATGGGGCTCTGCAGCCTGAGAAGGGAAGGCTCCAGGGAGACCTGAGAGCGACCTGTCAGTATTGAAAGGGGGGATGTGAGAAAGTAGACAGACTCTTCAGCTGGGTCTGTTGTGATAGGACAAAGGAAAATGGTTTCAAACTAAAAGAGGAGTGATTTAGATTGCTTAAGGAAGAAGTTTATTAAAGTAAGGGTGGTGAGGAACACAGGTTGCCCAGAGAGGTGGTAGATGCCCCATCCCTGCAGACACACAAGGTCAGGCTGGACGGGGCTCTGAGCACCTGATGGAGCTGTGGGTGTCCCTGTTCATTGCAGAGAAGTTGGACTACATGACCTTTAAAGGACCCTTCCAGCTCAAAAGATTCTGCGATTCTAAGTGATGCTTGAATCGTTATGTACAGTTTAACTTGCATAACAAGCACAACATGAGCCTGTCAGCTTGCTTTAACACATTGTAAAGCCACTCATCCTTAATTACAAACACAAGACTTAACAGTTATTTAAAGAAAAGCCAAAAACCACAACACATTTTGGTAATCAGGGCTGTGCTGTAACACAAGTTTTCAGATTCACCTTTCAGAATACATTTGCAGAGTGCTCCTTCCCCCACTCTGCAGTGCTTTCTGATGGGAGGAAGCATGAGGAAAACAAAGAAAGGGCTTTACCCTGCTGCTCCCCACCCCACTGTACAATTACTGTTGATGGCTTATTAGTGCTTTAACTAGAACTCAAATGCAAGGCAATGTGGAATGGTTTAATAGGTCAGTTAGTCGGTTGGTCACTAACTTGCTAGCTATGGGGTATGCTCAGGACTTGGTTTGGTTACTGGTTTGGTTTATAGGGTTTTAAGGGCTGCTCTAAATTACAGGCAGAGAAAATGGTCTGTGGACCACGGACAGAGCTTTCAACTGTTCTTCCATTTGTCATTCCTCCCTGGTGTCATTATGCAGAATGTCCTATTTGGGGAAGAAAAAGTTATTCTTATGATGCTGATCTACCTATGGTATCCACCAGCAGTGACATGCAAGGATTTTACAGATCTCGTGGATTTCTAGAGAGACACAAAGGATCTATGGTAGATGTTTTGAATACTGCAGGATTGCTAACTTGCATTACTTAAATAGGGTTTGTATGTGAGTTGGTCTCTGTATCAGTGAGTTCACTTACAATTATATTGCACGTCACCCCAAATATATTTCTCAATGTAAAATGTAAAGAATTTTTACATAAAACCAGACCTCCTTTCTCTTTCCAGTTAATGCAGTGTGATCTATTTGCCTCATCTTAACAATTAATTCAGCAATTAACTTTCCTACATCCAGGTTAGGAAACATTTAGATTAGTAGCTGGCATCCTAGGCAACAGAGAAGTTCATGCAGAATCACATGAAAAGCACAGACCTGACAAGGTGAGAACTCAAGGCTTAGCTTTGAAAAAGCTTCTTAGCCTTGAAAAAGCTCTGAGGCATTTATACCCACTCCATGGTGGCTGGAGCAGCATTAAGGACAGTTACAGCCCTTTTTGGTGCCCTAAATGAAAGGGAATCCATTGAATCTGGAAACATTGCCAGGACACCTGTCTTCTTCCCATCTGGCTCTTACTGCAGAGTGGTAGAAGAAGATTGGCTTTTTTTGGTATTGTCCTTTCTATTAAGGTTGATCTTGCCCATCCACACAAAGTACATTCTGGGAAAGCCTCTCTGTGTTTATGCTGAAGGTCCAAAACAGTTTCTGAATAAGTTTCCTACCTTCTCTGCCTGCTGTTGGTTGGCACAGGGGACGGAGCTCTGGCTACACAGATGAACAGCCTGTTCATTGTGTGCAGCTCTGAGAAGGAAAGCTAAAGTACCAAGGCCTACAGATAAATACGCTGCAATAATGGGGATAGAGGAGATGCAGATGACTACACAAGGAAATGCAATTCCTTACCACAACTGCTACTTTTTTTTACTCAGTGTGCAGGATGGAAGTGATCTAGTTCTCAAGAGCCTCAAGTGGAAAAGCAGATGTTATCTCATGCTTACTGTTTTTGAATGTGCTTCCTTGCTACATCTCAAAAGATTCTACAAAGGAAGGCAAACAGCATTACAAAGGAAGGAGAGAAGAACCCCTAAGGTCAAGGAAACAACCAAAAACAGGTCACAGCAATTTCTGACCTGCAGCTTCACCTTGTTTGTGTCTTATTGTATTTGAAAGTACAATGAAACATCACAGGTACTTCTGAAATGTCCCTCAATGGAAGATGGCAGTGTCCTTCCACACACATAAATCCTTACCAGAAGAACAAGAATCACTGGCCCTTGATATATGTAGTCGATATATTTCCCTGGTTCTTTTCCAAACCAGCATCTGTAAGAAACAAAACAAATGAGAAAACTGTTTATAAAAGGAATGAAGGTAGATTGTAATATCAAGGACACAGTGAAGATATGTAACATTCTAACTTCTTTAATTATATCATCATCAGTGATGGAGTTTTCTGTTACAACGCCTTCTTTTGGTTTGGACACAGGTCTGAGCTCCACTTTCCCAGCCCATCAGGAAATTAATGTTCCAACTTTGTTTTTGATCATTGCCTATATAATTATTTCCAAGAAAAGTGAGAAAGAACCCGCTATCAGGAGGAGACAAAAGATGTAACCTTCTGGGTCTGAAAGGGATGAAAGAGAGATTATTTTTAAGGAAAAAGTCTGTTATTTGTTGCAGTGCCCACACACCCTTCAAAGAAGGGCTATTATATCAAATGTGTCTCAAGTTGCAAGGAAATAATGTCTAAATAAAGCATTGGATGAATAAGCATTTCATCCAGCTGGCTTTGAACCAGGCTGGTGAACACCAAATTCAGCACTTAGTACAAAGAAAATAAAGCTAGCAAATACCTGATCCAACATTACTCAAAGGGGATGAACTTAGGTTAAATGAAACCACAAGTAAACCAAAGAAAAAAAGTTCAGGCACAGACTCAATGATTTACAGCATCACATTGTCCTTGGTGCAGTTCTGTTGCAGTCCTGACAACAGTCAACTCCAGACAATTCAGGGGAACAAATCTGGAGTTATTATGATCTATAGAACTTTCCCAATAGTCCACAGACTACCCAGTGCATGCTGTTTGAGCTGTGGTCCCACTCCAGGCTCATCTGATTTAGTACTACAGACACGTCCACAAAGTCTGGATACTGGTTCCACCAAACAGGGACAACTTTGCTGCCATGATGCCATAACGCCTTAAGGCTTATGTCATTGCAGCTCCAGATCCTGTCCCTTAGGAAGTAGGTTTTGGAGTTCAAGTGTACAAGGGCTTTTTCTCTTTGTGAATGGGACAAGGGCAGTTAATGAGCCAAGAGGACCACTGATATGGATGCAGATCTGCACTTTGACAAACATGAAAGATGTATTATTTGTTGCTTCCAAAGTTTGCGGTCTATAAGACAGAAGCTCACAAGTAGATAAAACAAGGGAGCTCAAATGGAAATAATTTCACTCAGACAGTACCCCAAAGCCTCTCTTTCTCCAAAAGGCATCGCTTGCTAAAACAGAAGGAACTTTGCTCACTGCAAAATGCTCTTATCAATGTGAACCCACAGAAATACTGAGATACGCAGCAGGTTTCTAGGAAAACAATTCAGTACCACAAAATTGGCTGCTTTTCCCTAATATTTTAAGGTTCAAATGAGTGATGGGCTTTGAATATTTTATAGGTATAAAACACATCTGTTATTCCCTGGTTCACTGTCTGCAAATTAGTGTAAATTGATAATTTTGCAACTAATCTCCCAAAATCTGGCAGTAAGAGCGAGACTTGGAATAAGGCACTTTCTGCAGCCAATTTCTCTTCCAAGAAGAATCCCCAAGGCAGCTTTAATAGAATGAAACTTTTTTCTTTTCTCTTCTCTTCTCTTCTCTTCTCTTCTCTTCTCTTCTCTCCTCTCCTCTCCTCTCCTCTCCTCTCCTCTCCTCTCCTCTCCTTTCTTTTCTTTTTTCTTTTCTTTTCTTTTCTTTTCTTTTCTTTTCTTTTCTTTTCTTTTCTTTTCTTTT